AGCTCAGATGCCCTTTCTTGTGGTAATTTTTCCTTTATCCAGAAGTATACCCCTTGTCAAAACATACCTTTTAGATGTTTATTTAGTATAGTCTAGTGAGAGGAAATCATCTCAGTTTTTTGTTTGGATAAAAATGTTTTTATTTCATTCTCATTTTAAAAAATTAGGTTTATCAGGTATATAATTTTTGGATTTTACTGTAGTTCTCTGGGAGCAAGAGGATAGTATTTTATTGTCTTTTGCCTTCCAATAACTGCTGAGATGCAAGCTGCCTTATCTTAATATTGTTCTTTTTTTAAGTAAGATGGCTTCTCCTCTCTGGCCCCTTTTAAGGTCTCTTTGGTGTCGTGTTTTCCACTTTTCATTATGATGATTCTAGACATGGATTTGCTTTTATCTGTCTTGCATGGTTTCCCTGGACTTCCTAAGATCTGGTCTTTCATTAATTCCCGAAATTCTCAGCCACCACCTCTTCAGCTGTCGCCTTCTCCTCTTTTCTCTTTTCCTTAAATGTTAAGCTTTCTCACTTTAGCCATGTTTCTTAACTTTTCTTACATTTTCTCTGTTTTGTTAGTCTGTTATAACCACCTTCAGACAACTTGAATTGAGCAAGCTTTGTATCTGAAATTGGACAATCGGATTTCATTTTGTATGTATCTTCCCAATGATAGTTAAGAGTGTCTATATTTCTTAACTGTTAAGTTGTGTAATATTTGTAAAATAAATTGGATTAATATCCTCAGCATGCCAGGTATACTTGCATTATTTCTCACTGAGCCAACTCACTACAAACAAACATGACTTCCGTGCTGAAGTACTCTGAGACCGGTCTTTTGCTCTGGAAAATATGAAGTGCAGGAAACTAAGAAAACTCAGAGGAATTCTTCTAGCCAAATTGAGTTAATTTACGAAAATGCCGCCTACATATTCCAACAGGCTCATTTACTATCTGAAATTTACCAGTGAAGTATTTCATAATTTAAGCCTTCAGTGGAATTGAAAATCTCCACAGCCAAAACTAGCACCCAAACCTTAAGTCCAGAAGGGAGAAATACATTTCTTTTATGTTAAGAGACTTGGATCCCACTTACTCATCTACTATTACTCCAGGAAGACCAGAAATGGGAAAATAGGAGAGTTGTCATTTAAGAATACCTAGAAACAGGCTGGTCTGGAGAATATCACCTCTTTTCAGAGAAGTAATTTCTCTTAACTTCCTGCTCCCCCTCTAAGAAGGCTGCCCAGCTGGCCATTTCTTTTGCTTCTCTGAGAGAATATTTTTTGAAAGATGGGTCAAAGGCCTATATGAACTTATTTCCATCCAATATTCAGAATGTTTCCTGCTGACCATGATACAGAAATATAGAATATCAAAGCTGGGAGGGGCCCCCTGATTATCTTGAGACCAAGACAACCTTGCATAAGGAAGCTCAGTCCTAGTGAGTTAGGCGACTTGCTTGAAGCAAAGAGCCGGCAGAAAGCCCAGGACACAAATCCAGGCCTGTTAGTCCTATTTCTTTTTATTCACTGTAATAACAACTTATTCTTACAAAATAATACATCTGACTTTTGCTAGTATAAACATGTTGATTTTAGAGGATTTGGGAAATAGCAAAAACACTCTTAACCAGAAGAATCTGATACTAGTAGGGAAATAAATAAGGGCCACAGTAGTTTAACAAGAAACTGAATATTGACTGTAGTCAAAATACATTTTTCCTACGTAATTTTTAGAAAATTAAGACATTGGAAGGTATATAAGTAGATAGAGAATTTTTTAAAAATGGTAAAATGTTCTCCTCTCGTTGTACAAACTGTGGGGAAACAGTAAGGAAACTGCCTACGGCCCATTGAAAGTAGCGCGCTGCACCCAGGTAAAGGGGAATTAGTGAGTGACATTTAATCAAGGAGTTGTGATTGAGGATTTGCCACGGTGTCTGCTCACCCTCCCCCGAGGGAAAGGAACCTGCAGATGCAGATGGAAGGCATCAGGTGAGTGGGGGAAGGGAAAAGAGCAGGAGCCTTGGGAGCCCGGGACCCCAGAGACAGAATGAAAGAAGAGCGCGCTGTGACACTTTGCAAGTAAGGAAGCCGTGATGAGTGAGAACCCTGTCACACCGACAAGGGGCCAGAGGGGTCAGCATCAAAATATGGGGGGCGTGACTATTTACAGAACAATGTTTTTGGTCCTAAATATATTTATTATTTCAGACTTTTAGGAATTCAAATGCCTTTTATGTCAAACCTTTGCCTTCCACTTCCTCCTAAGTGTGGTGCCAAGAGTGGACGTCAACCATTTGGGGTACTGAGAGGGAAAAGGCCAAAGGCCCGGGCGGTGGCTGTGGCAGGCCGGCTGCACCGCGGGGCGAGGAAGCAGGCTGCCAGGGCAGGTCCTGCTGCAGTGCTTCACACTGACTAAATGCCAGCCAGTTCTTGGACGTAAACAGTTCTCATGAACACTTTAAAGGAAAAAATTAGGCCATTGTCACAGATGTATAATTTACAAAGGAAAAAATAACAGTGGATAATAAAATTACTTGATGTAGCAATGGTTGGTAAAGAAATCAGAAAGACTAAATAAGAGTTTACAAAATACATTACAATGACAAATATTAAAAGGTTAATATACTTAGTATGGTGAGGATGTGTTAGAACAATCAATTGCCTATTACTACTGGACAACAGTTTGTGAATATATATGAAAAAAAGTATTAAAAAGTATGTACCATTTGACCTGGGAATGGGTCAGTTATAGGCATTTAACCTAATAGGGTTAATCAGAAATTAGAAAATAAATGATGTTGGCCATGAGATAATATAAAATATATTTTGGTCTCTACCCGCTGTTCCTGGCGCAGAGCTCCTGAAACCACTGAAATTTCCTGGGTCAGAGGAGTATCTTTTATTCTGATGAGGTGATTCTGTGAGGGCTCCTGGATGAGGCCAGTCACCAGAAAGACCAAGCTATGATCCGAAGCTTGGAGTTCCCAGCACTGTAGCTCCCCACGTCCTCGATTATCTTGATAAGGGAGAAGGGCTGAAGGTGGACTTAGTGATCAGTCATGCCCACATAAAAATTCCCAAGGTATACATCTGGGGAACTTCTGGCATGGTGAACATGTGAGACACTGGGAAGTGGCAGCCAGGACAGGGGCCACAGAAGCCCTGTTCCCCTTCCCACACAGACCGCCCCATGAATTTCTTCCATCGGCACGTTCATCTGTGTCCTTTATCATATCCTTTTAAACTCATAAACATGTTTCCCTCAACTCTGTGAGCTGCCTTAAGAAATTAATTGAAACTCAGGAGGGGGTCATGATAACCTCAGATTTATAGCCGATTGGTCAGAAGCACAGATGACAACCTGGACTTGTGTCTGGCATCTGAGTGGGGTGTGGGCAGTTTTGTGGGACTGAGCCCTTCACCTGTGAGATCTGAGACTATCTGCATGTAACAGTGTCAGAACTGAGTTAAATTTTAGAACACCCAGCTAGTGTTGCAGAGAATTGCTTCATGGGGGAAAACCCACATTACTGGGTGACCATAAGTATCAGAAGTGGAATGTTATATGTGGAAGTAAAAGAGAGACACATAGGACACTGAGGTCTCCCAGTACAGGTACATCTATATAATGAAATACTATATAGCCATTAAAATGATAATGATTATTCACTGATCTAGAATTGTATTCAGGATATTGTGCCAAATATAAAAAGGCAGGTAGAGCATGAACATACAGATGTAAGATTGTGTGAAATGTTTGGAAATTCACTAAAATGGTAAGAATGGTGCTCTCTGGGATTTCAAGTGATTTTATTTTCATTTTTCTTATACTTGTTAGTATTATTTAAATGTTTCACAAAAGAATAGCTTAATTTTTCATAGTCAAAATTAAATATGCAACAAAGACGGCTTTGTTTTAAATGTAAGAAAGTATCCTTCTTACACATTTTATCCTTCATGGAGGATAAAACAAGTGCTATTAGGTAACAAATGACTTGCAGAATTCTGTACCAACCAACCAATCCTTTTCTACCAGTTTGTTTCTGCTCAGAATGGATTCAAAATAACCAAGGTCAAATAAAATAAAAACGATACACAAGAGCCTCTCTCTATCATGCATATAGGAAGATAGGGACTTATACTCCTAAATAATCCACAACATTTTCTCCCTCAGTAATTGAATTTACAAACAGGACAATTAGCATGTGGCAATGTCATTACCGAGCTGCACATCAAATCCTTAGATGCAGCAATTGTGCACACAGCGGAAAACATTAAATAATTATAAAAATTCAGACAAGGTTTTTTAAGGCATCCTTGAACAGGCAGAGACTGGAAATGATGAAAACTTTCTGAAAGTGAAATTTCTCTGCTGTAGCTACTTTTTGAAGTTACTTTAATAAAAAGCTGATCTTAGGTGATTCTATGCCACTCAATTCCAGAGACTTTCATTCAGCCAGTGAGCCTATAGACGAGTCTCTGCTAGTGGTCGCTTTGCAAATTTATTCTGAATCCCTATCCTAGTCTGCCAACCAGTGCCTTCCAAAGACTGTTACCTATTTTTCTAGAAGCAGACTCTCCATATAGGCACCCAGGCACGGTAAGCAGAACTCCTGTCATCAGCCCCATTCTGTATGCCAAATATATTAACAGAAGATATTTTTTTCCTAAAGCAGACTTCTCTTTGTGCCTTATAAGTAGAAATCAATCATTCTCTTGTCAGTGGAAACCTGTCTATGCTAAGTACATTTTGAGATTTAGCATCAAAAATGAAATAGAATTTGATAGATTTTAGTTCATCTCATTATGTAGGAAGTTATTCTAAAACTTAGAAATGAAGCTGGAAAACACACAGTATTTAATGTTTACTACGTGTGCATGCACACCTACACACACACAACCAAATCTATAAAATACAAGTGGCTATGGTATGAAAGGCTATCACAAAGAGTTAAGTCATCACAATTTCATTTTTCAGAAAAACAGAAACTACAAACCTTTAGCTGTTCGTCTACAACTCTTGTAACTTCTCCAGCCATTGATTCCAGGGTCTCCTGAATCGGACTGGACAACAAGCCACTGGCTCCCGCCCAAGATGCACCACCAGCATGGTATAAATTTGGCAACAACTATAAAGAAAATAAAAGTAACCTCTCCATGATTAAATAAATATTTTAAAAGCACCAAAATCAACACAGTTAGTAAAAAGGGTGGAGATACATTGTTAAGGATAATCTATTCTTGATCAAAAGCCCTTTCTTTATACAGATTAATAAACTAAGGTCCAGCTTTGACACCATAGGGACAGCACATAACAACTCCTGGTGCCTTTCTGTCTTTCTCTAGGGCATGAGAGTAGCTGACTGAGCCACAAGGTTCCTCCTGTTCACGACACTCAGTGACTGTGTGATCCCAATAGCAGAGCTAGACCAGATCCCAGGTTTTCAGACTCCCAGGCATTCCTTTCTCTAGGGACCAAATTCTGATTTGAGAGAAGCTTCCTTTCAGAGGTGACAGAGGTGAGTTTCATGTTTTCAACTTGGAATTTGAATGTTTGAAACTAGTTATTACTTATTTAAACTACAACTACCTCTCAGCAACTGAGGACCCGATTACATCCCTCTTAAGTCGCACTGGCCCTGTACTTTTGATTCCGTACTTTGATTATTGCTAATTAGCACAGGTACAGAAAGGAAGCAAAGATGAGCTCAATTCACTTTGCCATTTGTTAGTGACCTTGAAATTGGGAAGAGAAGTAAAGAAATCGGAACTAGTTGTGAAATTTAAGTTTAAAAACCTTATTTTTATTACATATGACTCTCATGTTAACCTCAAGTGAAACTCACCGTTTTAGAGTTCTTGGCATCACACATGAGCCTTTCTGCTGATTTTAAATCTTCCTGGACAGCATCTCCCCCACAATTTCGTAAAGAATTGAGATGGTCCTGTACTTTCACGCATATTCTGTCAATCATCTGCTCCACACCATAAAAATGACATCAAGCATCCGAGTCAGCACAGCCAGTATTCAGATAGAAGAAAATATAGAATGAAGGAGGATGAAAACTTTTAACTGGAATTCTGAGAAGGCAGCTTATAAGGCAATTGTTAATTTATCTATTTATATAAGAGACCTTTGGCAACATTAACTCCAGAAAGATATTTAAGGGATTTTTGTCCCCTTTCCTCCTTAGGATATGCAGCATGTAAAACAAAAGTGAATACATCTTGATGAGTCAGAATCTCATAGATACGCAGTGACGTTTTGCCTAGATAGTGACCCTCCTTCCTTAATTTTTACCGAGTACTCCCTGTGTCGGACATAGTGCTACATACTGAGGAAACGAAGAATGGCAAAAGTGCAATTATGAGACTGTTGGGAAGACTACAAAATGATACCACAGCCAATTGGTTGATCTCAATATTATGGAAATCAGAACATCCTTGAAAATTAATTCAATTATATCAGGTAGTTTTCTATATAAATTAAGAGGCACATAAACATAAAAAGGTTGAAGTCTTACATTAACATAGGAAAAAAAATTAATAACATTTAGTTTCTATTTCATTAAGGTCCCTCTCCCAGGTTAATTACATCTGAATCATTGTCAGTTGTTCCATGGATTTAACCGTAAAACCTAAAGGGTAGGTAGGGGTAGATAACTATTGTAAATAAGAAATAATACAGATGGGTAGGATTATTTTTTTATATTCTTATTTATATAGAGGAGCATGAAGAAAGCTAATTAGTCTGAAGAAAAAGGTAACCACAGTGTGGCTTGAAAAGTTTCTCTAATATTTTAATCAGAGCTGCAGATTGCCTATTTCATGTTCTTAAAAAATGACTAATTTTCCAGAGACCTTACTTATCAAGAGTCCTATCCTACCCGATAATTCATTTGGTAGAGGTGACGGTCTAGCTATATTCTTTTTTATTTAAATCCACATTTCTCTATTTATTTTGAATTGTTTGATGTAACAACTACAGGAAGCCAAGATCAGCCCTGCATCCCCCATAAATTTTAGGAACTTTACTGCACTGCTCAGAAGACTTAAGGTCTGATTACAGAGCCATATTCCTCTTGCTTTTATCTTTTATAAAGTCAGTTTCACAACATCCAAACCCCCATCTTCTTATCTAGTGTATCATGAAGATGGTCCAGTTAAAATAACACCATTCAAAGCACCTGTTCTCCTGACAAAGGATCAGCCGTGCTAACGCTGATATATGTTGAGAACAGCTCCTATAACTGTAAAACCCACTGAGGCTCCGTAAGGGAACCATGTGGAGCTCTCCATGGGAAAGAGGGAGCTACATGAATAGGGCTCCTCACACCTATTCTCTCTTTGACTGAAATCTAAGCTCGGATGCAGGGGTCACATCTTAACTTTCTGCAAGTTACACAATGCCTTGCAGAGAACTATATGTTTTTTTCAATCTTCTTATTGATATAAATTCTAACTCTTCTATTTTATTGATCTGTGCTTCCTAAAGCAAAAATAGTCATTAGTAATTCATACTTTACCAAGAAAAAATACCTAATCTCAAGACACAAAGCACATTCTAAGAAAGGAACTGAAAAGCATCTGAGCCCACAAGAGATTCATTTGAGAGGCGTGTGGACAGAACACTATAAAGCTGATCATCTTTAATAATCGTACCCCTGAAATGTCTGCCACTAAGCATTCACCAAGGAGAAAGGGTTTAAATGAACTCAACAAAATGGCCTTTAAGTGGAGCTTTTTAAATTGTATCCGAAAGAAACATAAAATTTTAGTTCTTCATTTCAAATAAGACATAAAATCTCGCAAGTCTCCAAGAGTCTACCGAACAGGTACTTGCTAAGATTTAGCAGAGTCCATTTGATGCTTTACAACTAGGGAGTTCAAGGCCCAGAAAAGTTAAACTATTTAAGATGACGCAGAGAGCAAACCTAAAATTTTGAAAACAGGAAATCAGGAATTTGCCCATCAGTTCATGTTTAAGTCCCTAAGGTACACAAATGAGAAAAACAGAGACTGCCATGAAGGAGTGTCACCTCTTGGATCTTCCTGTCAGGGACCGCACGGTGACTGACCACCCCGGGTTCTTTATGTCAACCTCCCAGCATCACCCAAGCCCGTAGTGTTCCATTTTTTCTAAGCAACCCAGGAAAGTTGTTAACTGCCACAGTTCAAGAAGCTGACTTCCTTCCAAGGACATGTTCTCTGTCATTCTTGGACAGGATCTTCTTTGTTCTGCACCCCAATCTGTCTTCCCATGTCCTTCTCTGCAGGCCCCACGCCTTCCCCTTGAGAGCATGCTGAGCGCTCACCAGCTCCTTTCCGTGGGACAGGCTCACCCATGTCCGCACAGAGCTATCTTCTCTACTGTAATCTTTCTTTCTTCAGGCTTCACATCCCCAGTTCCTTTTAATATTCCACAGTGACACCGTTTTGTGGTGCCTGCGCCTCCCTCTGACCCAGGTCATTTCTCCTCTGAATTCTCTCTTCCATCTGGGACCCTCATGAAATGCCCCTTCTCAATAAAATGGACTATGACACTGAAATGGACAGGTTAGCTGAGCAGGGCTAGTGCCTTTCGCCACAGAAAGCACACTTTCATTAATGGGCAAAAGTGAAACTGGTTTCTTGGGCAACTACATCACACCACTAACTCATATCACACTTAATGGTGACTATTTAGGCTTTTTCAAATATACTGGGTCAAAGATCCCAAGGGCAGGACTTAGAACTATAACAGCAAATGCCATCTGTGGTTGCTCTCAACTTGTCACAACCACACTCAGGCCCAGCAAACAGCTTACTCCTAGGAAATTTCATCTTCCTCTCTGTCTGCTTTCTTACTCATTTCAAGAGAAATATACTGAATGCCTAGCATTGAATGAAATACAGTCCTGAACAAGGTAATACCCTTCTGCCACCAAGCAACTGAACCCGGAAGTGGAGAGAAATACTCACAATTCACAGTAACAAGACATACAGTGCTACATGATGTAATGCCCACAAGGATATGCACATCGTGTTCACTGCCAAGGCTCCATTTCCCACAATAGTACCTGCCTGGTCATAGATCCTTGTAAGTGTTCACTCAATGAACAAATGAATGATAGCAAGTTCTAAAAGATTTTAGCCAAGGGAGGGACCAAATCTAATTGAGGTTAAAGGTAGTTGTTAGACCAGGTTCTGAAAGATGTCTAGAGATCAAGAAAAGACAAGGGAGTATGAAGTGAAAGAATGAATGAACATAAGCAAAAGCATACCTACAGATACTTGTGGTCCTATTTCCTGATTAGGAACAGAGGCCCTTTATGGTGGGACAGCAGATCGGAATGTCAGGTTAAGGCAAGATCGCATAAACTCAGGCACACGATTAAGGAGTCTGAACACAGCATTCAAGGTATAGGGCATCTGTTCTGCAGCTCCTTTCACAATTGGGAGGGTCTAAAATTCTCTCATCCTTTAACATAGGGACTTGGATTCCATGACTGATACAAAGGGTATGGGGTATAGAAAACAGGAGGAGACACAGAAAATGGCTAAACTAGCTCTTGTAGTACTGCAAAGACATTCTGCAGGCAAATGGTCCAGGGCACAGTGACAAGCCACCTAAGGGTTCTATCCTCACTGAATGATGACGTCCCTGGGAGAAATGGCAACATTAGGAGTTCCAGGGGATGAGTTTGCTCTTAGTGACCCTGACACCTCAGAAGGTTATGTTGGTGGAGATGCTGAATAAGTAGTTGGAAACCTAGGACTTTCTGGAAAGAAACAAGAACTGAAAGGACAGATCTAGTAGTCATCCAGAGATGAGAGAATTAAAATAATACAAGTAGACGAGATAGTCAAAAGAAAAGAACATTAAATACAAAACTTAGAATAATGACTGTGTTTGGAATATGACAGTGGTCATGTAGATAGGAGACAGATAAGACACAGGAGTGATGGAAAGACACTTAGAATGGCACACTGTCAAATGATTTATGAATTGAGTCTTTAAATAGATAAGGTGGTCAAACAACAACAAATGTTGGCGAGGATGTGGAGAAAGGGGAACCCTCCTACACTGCTGGTGGGAATGTAAATTAGTTCAACCATTGTGGAAAGCAGTATGGAGGTTCCTCAAAAAACTCAAAATAGAAATACCATTTGATCCAGGAATTCCACTTCTAGGAATTTACCCTAAGAATGCAGCAGCCCAGTTTGAAAAAGACAGATGCACCCTTATGTTTATCGCAGCACTATTTACAATAGCCAAGAAATGGAAGCAACCTAAGTGTCCATCAGTAGATGAATGGATAAAGACGATGTGGTACATATACACAATGGAATATTATTCAGCCATAAGAAGAAAACACATCCTACCATTTGCAACAACATGGATGGAGCTGGAGGGAATTATGCTCAGTTAAATAAGCCAAGCGGAGAAAGACAAGTACCAAATGATTTCACTCATCTGTGGAGTATAAGAACAAAGGAAAACTGAAGGAACAAAACAGCAGCAGAATCACAGAACCCAAGAATGGACTAACAGTTACCAAAGGGAAAGGAACTGGGGAGGATGGGTGGGAAGGGAGGGAGAAGGGGAAAAAAACAGCGCATTATGATTAGCAGACATAATGTAGGGGGCGCACGGGGAGGGCTGTGCAGCAGAGAGAAGACAAGTAGTGATTCTATAGCATCTTACTATGCTGAAGGACAGTGACTGTAATGGGGTGGGGGAGGGGACTTGACGATGGGGAGAGTCTAGTAAACATAATGTTGCTCATGTAATTGTAGATTAATGATACCAAAATAAAAAACAAAACAAAACACACACACAAAAAAGATAAGGTGGACAATAATAGTGGTAACTGTGATTATAAAATACCAACAAATATTAAATGTTTACTAGGGGGTGGCAGGTAGTTTTTGTGCATTAACTCATTTAATCCTCACAGCACCTGAGTCATCTTCCCATTCTACAGATGAAGAAATCAAGCCTTAAATAGGTTAGTGACTGGCTGCCATCAGTTCACACTCATAGGGACAGTAGAGCCTGTGCTTGAATCTGAATCATCTGACTTGAGAGCCCAAGTCCCTGACCACTGCACAACTGCCTCTGTTCATCAAAAGAGGGAGAAGAGGCCCCTGGACTTAGTGACCAGGAGACCACTCGAGAGCCATTTCAGTAGACAAACAGGGACAGAAGGCACATTTCAAGCGGTCACAAAGTGAGGGAGTAGAGAGAAGTCGTGAACGCAAGTATAAAACTGCGCATTGAAAGAAAGGAAAAAGAACATGCTGAGTAAAGAGCTCAAGGCAATAAAACTGCCTTTTTTTTTTTAAGCATGAGAAGACTCTAAGGGTGAGAAGAATAAATTTGGCACACTACAGGCAATTCTGGGCCTGTTTTTAGAAATAAAGTTTTAATGGAACAGCCATGTTCATTCACGTACATATCGTCCGGCTGCTTTTGATCTACAATAGCAGAGATAAGTAGTTGCAACCGAGACCATACAAGCTGTAAAGACTAAAATATTTACTATCTGGTTTTTTACACGGAAGGTTGCTGACTCCTGTTAAGAGGCCTTATGAGATGGAAAAGAAGAGATTAAAAGCAGAGGTGGGGTGTTTAGTCTTATAAAGGTCTTTCCTAAACAAAGAAAGAAACAAAAACAAATATATGAACAGTTATGAGACCTCGATGTTTCATTCAAACATCTTCATTCCTTCAGTGCCACCTGGGAATGATGACTGCCTGTGCAGCTGACAGGGGCATCAGTCAGAGAGAGTCTATTCTTTCTGTATTCAGAGTTCTGGAAACTTCAGTTAGAAGGAGATAAGTCTCTCCTAAAGCGACTGAATGATCGGTTCGAAAATTGCTATTTATAATGTCCTACGAAATCCCTACCAAGAAAAGATGGCAATATACCTCCTACATGACTCAAATAATTCAGGACGATGCCGCTCGGGCAGAATTAAATATCCGCATTTGCCTCCCGTGTACAATTTCCTCTTGGTTGGGAAGAGGGAACTTACTTCGAAGAATAAGCATTAAAGGTCGCTGCGGTCATTTGGTTGGATGGGCAAATCCCCTGTGAATGAGGAACAAAGTTGGAAAGACACTGTGTTAAGGGAAGACTGATCATGGCAGCTCATAAAGGAAGCCGAGGCGAATGCTCAGCGTGAGATGCTGATGCCCGCATGGATTTTAATGTTACACACCGAAACCAGGAACTAACAGTAAGTCACAAAGTACATAGCTAATATTATTAGTTCCTCGCAGGAAAAAAAGTTAGTTTTTCAGCCATTGGTAAGGGCAAAATAATGTTTTCTTTCTCAAAACTGTTATTTCACTAATATTCATAATTATTAGTTTTCTTTTTCTCAACATTTATTGCTTTATTTTTTCTTACATAAACAAACAATACATGTCCATCAAAAGATGAATGGATAAAAAAGATGTGGTACATACTGACAATGGAGTATTTTTCAGCCATAAAAAGAAGTCCTGCCATTTGCAACAACATGGATGTATCTAGAGGCTATTATGCTCAGTGAAATAAGTCAGGCAGAGAAAGACAAATACCACATCATTTCACTTATTTGTGGAGTATAAAAACAAAGCAAACAAAATGAACAAAACAGCAGTAGACTTACAGACGCTGAGAAGTGACTAGTGGTTGCCATGGGGGAGGGGTTGGGATGAGCGGGTGGGGAGGGTGAGGGGGATGAAGGAGCACAGTGATTCAAACAAGTAATGTGAGCAAGAGGCTGGTCATGGGGGGATGGCAGTGCAACATGGAGAATAGAGCCGGGACTCTGTAACATCTTCCTATGATGACAGATAGCAGAAGCAGTGGTGGAGGTGAGGACTGAATAATACGGGTAACTGCTGAACCTCTGTGTTGTATATTTGAAACCGACATAAGGCTGTATATCAATGATACTTCAACAAATATATATACATATGTATACATATATGTGTGTGTGTGTGTGTATATATATATATATATTTACTGTAAAGCATTCAAGCCACACTGTGAAGTGTAAGAGAAATAAAACTTACCTAATCATACTACATGAAATAATCATCATTAACATTTTGAACACCTTTCCACAAATCTCTATACATATCTATATAGTTATCTATATTTTACATATTTGTAATATTGTATATGAGTAATTTAAATCTTCTGGTGGCTTTAACAGTTAGACAGTAAGCGTATATTTGTATTTTTGATTTATGAAAAATAGAAAATAGAAGTCGATTCCATGAAATAAAAGTGAAAAGGTTAGCACACTTACACCACCACTCAACTTTCTCCCTCTTTAACTCCTGATTTTAGTTTCACTACTTTTACATTAAGACTTCCAACATTTACTTCTGTTTTTACCTAACACTGGGTTTTCCCTTCTTGTCTAAGTTGGTATTAAAATTTTAAACCCATTAAAATGCAGTTACAGACAATGATGACAGACCCATAGAGAAAGAAATGTAATTCTATCTCTTTAATCCTGAAGCTCAAAGCAGATTGTCCCAAAGTGGTAATTTTGAAAAGTTTTCTTTCAGTTTTTGTACTTTTATGATTTCATTTCTGCTACAGTTTCTTATTAATACCTGATATTGTAGACTTAGTTATTTTTCTGTTATGCTATAGAATTTCCTCAAAAAGCCTTTTCCATATGGAATATTGGGGGTAAAATTTCTGAGACTATGTCTGCATATATTTTTATTCTGCCTTCACGTCTGCCTGAAAAAATGGGTAGGCACAGAATTCTTGGCCCAAAATAAATCCCCTTTGGAACTTTGGTAACGCCTCTGTACTTGGCTGATTCTGAGAACTGGCTCCAGTTCCTTTGTAAGACAGCCTGTTGTTTATTCTCTCTTGAAATCTTAAAACTTTTTTTTTCTTTATTCAGGTATTCTGACCAGGCCATGTCTAGGTAGGGGGGTCTTTTGCCCATTCGTTTGGGTCAATCTCAGTGGGTCACATCAAGATTCCTGTGAAATGTTTTTTTTACATCTTCTTAAATTTTTCTATTATGTTTCTTTTTAAATTCTGAAGTTCCTATTAGAAGGCAGTTGGTCATTTTGAATCTATGCACCGTTTTGACTGATTTTTTCCCTTACATTTTTCATCGTTTTACTACATCTTTTAAAGCATATTTCTTCCACAGAAATAGCTTGATTTGTTCTCTATCAGTTTATTTAATCCTGTATTACAGTTATCATGTTTTCAACTGCTAAGCAATATTTCTTGTTCTCTGACTACTCCATTTCATAGCAGCCTAATCCTAAAATATTCCCTCATGTCCCACTGACTTACTAAGTACAACTTTTTAAAAAGACCTCTGAGGTACTTTTAATTATCTGGGCTCAGTTCTTTGGTTTATCTTATTGTTTCCTTGACATCTTAATCAGCTTTCCTCAAATATCTTATGATCTTTGATTTTGTTGATATTTTTGAGGAAAATAGACCACATTTTTATTCCTTTCTGTAGTTTTTTCCTCTCTTAAGTTGGGTAAAGAAAAGAAGAATTAAGTAAAAAGCACTACAGTTTCTCATTAGCACTTACATGTTAAATTAATATTCAACAAATTCTTAATTATTCTGAAGAATCTGGAAACTTGTGGCCTAATTACATAAGTGGAAAGGAGTAAAGAGAAAGGAACAGAATGTCTCCTTAGTGGCAAATTTGATTATCCTCAGGTTTTCATCTGTCATCATGGGTTCCTAACATTTGCAAATAAATCATATATTTATGTATATTTGTACATAAATACAGCTTACTGACAATCCTAAAAAGTTGTTGACAATTAAAATCTTAAAATCATTAACAATTAAAAGTGCATATTTTGCACTCAAATTAGCCTACATTTTCCTGCCTCTAATCTTTTCCCAAAATCTGCTTATATCTGTTGTCACTTTCAGAAACCAGTTCTCATTGTCCCACTGGGAGTGATTCAGATGAATTATTGTCCCCTGCCCTTCCAAGCGTCCGTTCAGAGCGAGCAGGGAGAAGCAGGCCCTGGGAGAAGGCTGGCGTCCTCCTACCTGCTGTGTGGTGCTGGTGACGATGCTCTGCTGTAGGCGGTAGGCCTGCTCTTGAAGGTATTTCCTGGTTTCATGATTCCGGAGCAGATAGTTTTCTATCTGGAAATTAAGTACATGCATCTCTCAAGAACACATTTTGACTCAGCAGAGAGTAAAGCTGTAAGTGGAGCAACCAGGTGCCAAACTTAAAACCAAGCACTAATTCACCCATTCCACCTCTGCCTCGACCACACAAGACATCGGAGAGGGAAACTGCTAGCATTCTGATGCACTGTTGGCGTTCGGAGTTAGAAATCTAATTTGCAGTTAATAGGAGCAATTTTTATTGACTTGTTGTTGACAAAGACAGCCAAGTATTTAATTGCCTGCAGGGTTAGAGACTCCATTTAGTGACTTTTAATCACTGTCCTGCACGTAATTGCAATCTTTCTCTCTCCTGAGGTTTTAGCCCCTAAACATTCAGAAGTTAAATATCCCTCAAGAAGCGTGGGTGGCATTCCCTGAGCCTCTTGGCCTTATTCCAGTAGTACAGTCCACCAGCACTGACAGAATGCCTTGAGGAGGAAAAAAAAGGGTAAAACAGGCACAAAACTTGAAGGATACAGATTGGTACAACTCAGACATAGACTAGTTTCATTAACCCACCAGGTTTTCACATTTTCTCAAAAGCAAGACCAATTTTAGCAGAACTATGGAAAATGAGAAAACTTGAAGTTGCGTGACAATCTGTTTTACTATACATAGACAATCTCCTATGGAAAATTCAAATGTACAAATGATAACTAGATTGAAAGAAAGCACTTAAGATGACATGCAATGGATATACATTGAATAAAAAATGAAGGGTTAGTTATTGGGAATGGTGGATACCTATAAAGATGTTTTTTTAAAAAATAATGATTTGAGATGGGTAATTGAGCCATATATATTTTATCAGCTTTTTTTAAAAAAATAATACCACTTACTATTTGGCTTTTAATTTGTCAATATAGTTCCCTGGTTAAGAACTTCTAATAACTGTGAGGCTCTCAGTATTTATTATATTTTTATTTTCATTTTCCATATGTTATAAGTGAGTATTACTTAACAACAATTAGTAACAATTAAAATACAGGCTATAATTACTATCATCCCTGGAAACAATAAAGCAGAACAAAATGTGCCTTTCCACTAAGCATAAATTAAGATGAAAAGATCCTTGAAATGAAAGATCATTAAAGTGACACATTAATACCATGACATTATATTACATTAATTTTCTCTCGCTGCTTCCCAAGGAGCCATCTCTTTCCAAGGTGACATTACCATCAACGTAAAATATTTTTGCTAAAAAAAGATCCTTGCTTTAAATATGACAGGCCGGCACTATGCTTTTGTTTTGTTATTTGTTCTTTTGCATTTAGCCCCATTTAGCCCTGGCTGTGGGCCAGAGAGCAGTTCGTTTAATTAGGAGGCTCAGCTCGTACGCAGGCAGTGCAGGCAAAGCCCACAGTTTCCAGACTTTCCCCGGGTGCACCAATGGTGCTTCACCAACTAAACCTGGAGGGAACTTTTTAGAAAAAGATAATATTCCAAGCTCATTTCTAAAAGCCAGTGGGAGGGGAAGAAAGAACCATAATGTTTAAGTCATACAAAGACCACTGAAAGTATTTTCGTTTTGGATTAACAGGGTAAACTTTCCTTCTATCACCACTCCAGAATGAGGACAGAGAACCCACGTCCCAAGGATTAAGGGTGAGCGGCCCGACTCAGGTCAAATGGAAAGGGAAGGCCCACTGGGTGTTATCACGATCGCCAGTAGCCCTGGGCAGAGTGCCCTGGGGGCGGTCTAGAGCCAGGCAGACATCATCTCCAGCCTCACTGCTGAAAACAGCAGCAGCCAAGAGGCAAAATTCTGTATTTTAATGAAGGAATCTTGCATTAAGAAAAAAACACAAATATTGAGTACAGAATCACAATATTGTTCTTTAGTAGAGTAAAATTAAGGATGGAGTTCTGTTAAAATGAAAACTTGAATATGTAAGTATTATAGATAAAAACAATAAACATGAGCTTTAAAGTCACCAATTTTCCACATAAAAAAACCACAAATGTTAAAACTGATGTATCTGCATACTCTACATTTATTCTTTGTTTCTTCTTTTATCTTCCCCTCTTTTCCTGCCTTCTCTGGTTTTAAGTAATGTATACGAATGTACTCTCCCTCCTTCCTCCCTATATATTCATTATGCTACTTGAAAAATTTTAGTGGTTGCACGAGGGTTTGCAATTTACATACGACTAATCCAAGTCCACTTTGAAATAACGCGATACCATTTCGCAAGTAGCGCAGGTACTTTTTAACAGCATTGCCAAACTTCTCCTTTTCATCCCTTGTAACATAACTTGGAATGTTATTATTCCTCCTTTACTTTTGGAAGGAAACTTGCTAGATACATAATTCTACGCTGCTTAGGTTTTTTCCTTCAACACTTTAAATATTTCACTCCACTTTCTTCTTGCCTGCATGATTTCTGACCAGAAGTCTGATGTAATTCTTAACCTATTCCTCAGTATGTAAGGTGTTTCTTTCCTCTGGCTTCTTTTCAAGATTTTTTCTTTGCCTTTGGTTTTCTGTAGTTTGAATGGGACATGCTTACCTGCAGTTGTTTTGGTATTTATTCTACTTGGTGTTCTCTGATATTCCCGGATCAGGGTTTGGTGCCTATCATTCATTTGGGGAAATTCTCAGCCGTTATTATTTCATATATTTCTTCCGTTCCTCCTCTTTCTTCCACTTCCGGTATTCCCATTATATGGATGTTCAATCTTTTGTGCTTGTCTCACAGTTCTGGGACATCCTGTTTGGGCTAGCCCCCCAACCTTTTTTTCTCTTTGAATTTCAGCTTGGGAAGTTTCTAATGACATATCTTCAAGCTCAATGATTCCTCATCTGTACCCAATCTACTGATGAGCTCAAAGACATTTTTCATTTCTGCTACAGTGTATTTTGATATCTAACATTTCCTTTTGATTTTTTCATTCGAGAGTATCCCTTGGCTTACATTACTTTTCTGTTTTTCCATGTTTTTTACTTTCTTATTGGAGTCCATAACATATTAATCAATAGTTATTTTAAATTCCCTGGCTGGTAACCAAAATCTGTCCTATCTGAATCTGGTTTCAATGTTTCCTTTGCCCCCTCACACTGTTTTTCCTTGCCTTTTAGCATGCCTTGCAATTTTTTGTTGAAAGCTAGATATGGTATATCTGGTAATAGGAACTTAGGTGATCAGGCTTTTAGTGTGAGGATTTCTGTTAATCTGGCTAGAAACTTGGGTGCGTTAAATGTTTGCTGCAGCTACATATGCCAGGGGCTTTACTTTCTTCTAATGTCCTTGTTTTTGTCTTTCTTACTGTTTTGGGATTTCCCTAGAAACTCTTTCTTAAAATAGAGTGTCTTACAGCTTTCCTCAGTTTTAATCCACTGTTATTACACTTGAGGTGTAATAACAGTGGATTTGAGGTATAGTAACAGTGGATTAAAGGTAAGGTTTTAGGGAAGGGAAGCATTCTATCATCTTAGCTCAAATTTAGTTTTAGTTTTTTCTAAGCTGGCCTCAGTCCCTGGGCTCTGACCTTCAGAAGTATTTCTTGGCCTTTATTCCCCCTTCCTTATGTGAAACAGGAAGACTAGAGGGGACTAGAGTTTTATAAATGTCTTTTGCTAGGTCAGATAAGGCTCAAGTTGAGTAGTTTCCCTTCATTATGGACAGGAGAAGGCTCTGGATGTATTTCAGAATGGTCACATTCCCCCTTCCATTTGCCAGAACCACGAGGGGATTTTTCTCCAGTCTAAAACTTGGTGGGGCTGTTGGAGGTAAGACTCATGAAACAGTCGGGGCATCCCTAAGACGGGGTCCCTAGGGATTTTTAGCTCTTAAACTAGTCCACTCTAGGCCTCTAGTAATTCATCAATTACCAGTTAAGCATTCCTCTGAGTTACTGGCTCCATTAGATTCTATTCTTGGTAAGCTCTTCTCAGCTGGGATTCACTGTGTTTCTCTGTATTCCTCCCTCTCCGGTTTCCAGGCTGAGTGGGTGTGAGAAGAGTCACTGATTTTCTGTTAGTTCAGCTTTTGTTCTTATTGTGGAGATGGGAGTGGTGACTTACAAACTCTTTCCCTATCAAGTCTGAAACCAGAAATCTAGCTTCTCTAAAATACATCTTTTGTTATAAGCTAACTAATATCCTTCAGGAAGTATAAAGATATCAAACATTTTTATGCTGCTTTATGGTCTATAAACTGCCTTATAAAGATATCAAACATTTTTATGTGGCCTTATGGTTTATAAACTTTCACATACACTTTCTCATCTGAACCTCATGGCCACATTAGGCAAATTACTTACTCACCTTGTTCTTGGGGTGTCTTATCACCTTTGTCCTTTCTAAAATGTGGACATAAGAGAACCTGTCTCATGGGATTATTTTTAAGATTACAGGTGTTAACTTATGCAAAGCATTTAAAATAGTGTCAGGCACCTGGGAAGAACCATATATTGTCAGCTAAACACAGTTATCATATATCCTTATTTTGTTATACAGCTGAAGAAACTAAACTTCAGAAAAATGAAGTAACTTACTGAAGTTACAAACCTGGGAACAGTTTTAGTCAAACTGGTCTAAATCCAAATCTTGAATGATTTCTTTTGCCACACAATAGCTTTCTCTCCCCTACAGTCCTATTCCCTTTTATTCAACAAATGTCTAAGGAACATCCAAGCATGCAAGCCAGGCACTGTGCTACCTGCTGAGAATAAAAAAAGATGAAAAATACATGGGCTCTGCCTTCATGGAGCTCTGGGGAAAAAATAAATATGGAACCAGGTAAGTTAAAACAATGTCACAAGGCCAACGAAAGAGAAGCACAGGAAATTCTAGTTACATCACCTAACTAGGAGAAGAAGGGTGCTCTGAGTAATCTTTCTGGATGAGCGGACCCGGTTTCAATCTCAACAGACATGCACGGTGCTGGGGAAGGCATGAGTATCATCTGTGGTATAGAAGTGATTCTCAAACTTTGAGATCACCAGGAGAGCTTATAAAAACACAGATT